TTTTTTTTGTCTCAGACACACATGTGCTGCCATTGAGGGAGCCATTTTTCCTTGGGCTTTACAGTTGAGGTTGGAAATGGGGGGTCAACCCGAAAGAACAGCCTTGCTTCAAATACCAAGGATACTATTTTACAGCCTGGAAACAGATGAGTTGAACAAATTGCCTCTTATCCAGTGTGATGGTTCAAAATTATTTGCTCAGATAAGAAGAGTTCCGGGTGCAGAACAAAGCATTGGATGGCTTTCCTGTCTGTCTGACAAGTGGACCATTAATCTGTCCAAGTGCAATATCACAATTCAGAAGTGAAAGCAAACACCCATTCACAAGTTTTCTCCTGGATCTTTTTTAAATTGATCTCTGGGAAACTTTGTCTGTTCTTTGTCTGATAAATAAGGATTACCTTCAGTGGTCACCAATTTGTGTCTACTGGACAGTGCAAGGACAGGGTTGACCCTGGCATTTCCATCCTTACGAAAGGATCAGGAGGGTATTCATTGAGACTTACTGAGGTACTGCAAAAGGCACTTAAAAGTTTGTGGACAGCTACGTGCCCACCAGCTGAAGCCTTCACGTTGAACCATGTTGTTTCTTAGTCGCAATCTGATCATCAGTTGTGAGCGATTTCTTTGAAATGAGGCCAAATGAAATGGAGCACTCCTGTTGGACAATCTTCTCTCTTCAGTACTGCAATCTCTCTCGCTCTGTCTGGGAGCTGGAGGTGGTGTGGAGAAACAGCTGTTTATAGATTGCATGACTTTTGCCCTCTCTCCATCCCTCCCATCCCCTTTACAACCAAGAAAAGGCAACAAGGCTGAGAAGCAAAACAATCTGACTCTCTATGGATTAGGGTCATAGCATTAGTCTAAATTGCCTGGTTGGCATGTGTGTGTGCATGTGTGACTCGATACCTCTTAAAGGGATAGTTCACAGAAAAATGAAAATTCTCTCATTATATACTCACCACCACGCCGATGGAAGGGTGGCTATTTGAGTCCACAAAACACTTTTGGAGCCTAAGGGTTAAACAGTGTTGCAGCCAAATCCCATACAATTGAAGTAACAGGTGATTCCTTCTTCAAACGTAAAAAAAACAACAGAAGCAAGTGTCCGTAAGCCCCGGAATTAAAATGTAACTTGAAAACAGCATCATTCGATGCTTGTACTCTCCCCGTGCGTGCCCTTGAGCCAGAGCTTGTGTGTGCAGTGTTTATAGTGTGACATTTTTTCTGGGTTTTTTTTACGTTTGAAAAATTGATCACCAGTTACTTCAATTGTATTGGATTTGGCTGCAACGCTGTTTACCCCTGACACTCCTAAAGTGTTTTGTGGACTCAAGCACTCCACAAGTGAATATTTATTTTTCTGTGAATCATCCCTTTAATGTACTATGACAAAAGGAAAGGTCCTGTTATGTTGTGCACTATTGTTAATGTAACCCTATTGTTTGAAGCTAAAGATATTCACATAATTAATTAATTAATAGAATGAATGTATGAGCCCAAAAAATAGATGCTGTAAAAAGGAAGAGAAGATGGATATTCATGCTTTGTATTGGTTTGTGATGGATGTCACTTTTGATTCTGTTGATCAGCAGATGAAATAGTTTGCAGATTAATTCATAAAGAAAATATTCATTAGTTGCAGTCCTCTACTAAATAGATAAAAAGATGCTCCACCATAACAAGGATTTTCATGCATGAGATATGATACCATTGATGATATAATAGTATAATGTGTAGGGGAATCTTTCTGCATAACTGAGTACTTTTACATTAAATAATTAAAATACATTTTCCTATGTTTGCAGTGTTGCATTTACTTTTACCTGTGGAAAACATAGTATTTTTACAGTGTGGTATTAATACTTTTACTGGCTCTCTCCCTCATTACTCTCTGATACTACTGAAAGTGAAATTGATGGGAATTTAAACGCTTGGCATTGAAAAAGTGTTGATACATTTAACAATCCTGACTGAATATGGTAGATGCTGTGTGTCTAATAAAGAGGGGCAAAATATTAACATTTATGTACAGTATTATATATCAATTTAATACTACTACTACTACTACAATGAGTAATTTGTTAATAAATTAGACTCAAATCTTAACTTAAGTGATGAGCAGTGTTATTAGATAAATGCAGAGAATGAGATCTTAACCAACAGTGTTAGCGCCATTAAAACCATTGTAGGATGAGAATGTTAGCTTCCATATGCTGCTGTTACCTCTATATTTAGCTTCTTTGTCCTGAATACTATAAAGCTCACGCCAGCTAAAGAAATCCAGATGACTCCCTGAATTGGCAGATGACAGACAGCCTCAGGGCCACTCTATTACAAACAAACAAATCAGCGGCTCCAGCTAACGGCGTCCAACTGGATATCTCCCCCTGCCAGTCAGCTCCAAGCTGCAACCCATGCTTCTCTACTCCGAGTGTGAGAGCGAGAAATCAATATGTAATCATATTCACACTTTCTTTGGCAGGAGACACTGGGGGCAGACATGGGATTGAGACGACCCGCTCGGCACAGTGAGGCCACAGGAGGCCAAACACATTCAAATCATATCTGTCTGTGTTTCACCACTTCCACAGTGGCCTGATTCAAAATCTACCGAGATTGTACTTGAAAGAGGTGACTCATTTTCAATCAACTTGATTATTGTCACAGATATTTTGTACTAAGAAAGTTTTTCGGATGGTTTGTTTAGAGGTATATTCTTTGAGCTCTGCCTCCCTCCACAGTTGCATCTGCTGCATATCACCACCTGTTAGCTCACTGCTCTCTCAACAGAAACAACTTATGTATCAAACAAATCCCTGATTGCTGCTATGATTTGTCTTGATCTAAATGTTAAGTATTGCGTTTATGCTAATTACCTTGCCAAGGGCACTATTGCCTCATGCTCCTCTCATTACTTACTTTACCCAGAGCACTAATGTGACCAAGAGCCCCCACATATTTGCCTAGGGGAGAAGCAGAGTTCATTGTGAGGCAGTCACATGCTTGTATGGCCAGGGACATCATGATGACAATGTGTGCATGAAAGCCAAGCCAAAAAATAAATAAAAAACTCTTTCAATTAAACAGAGTGAAAGCCTATTAGAACTTACAGGATAATGCAAAATTCAATATTGCGCACAGCCACTGAGGGAATGAACCTTAGCTCCAGCAGTGCTATTGCCATACTTTATTCCTCATAGTATAAAAGGCATTAATTATTCATTAATGGGCAGCAAGACTTGTGCTTGATCTCAGTAACCTCTGTGATTCGTCGGCTTGTGTCTGTTCAATTCAAAGCTAATGTACCTGCATCTCTGGATAATAGCAACACTGTCCGTTTACAAGCTTCAAAGTTGAACATCTTACAGCAGATGGGTTTGGTACTGTAAAAAATAGCTAGAGCGATACTGCAGATCACAGCCATTAAGTATTTATCGCTTATTTCCATTCCTTTTAAATTGCACGCACCAGTGAAATGTGTGGAGACAGCAGCTCGCCCTGCTCATTTCAAAACATGCCAACTGCATTGTGGCTATCACTGAGAATTTGAACATCATTATGCACATACATTCCGTTTGTAATATGTGTTGCCTAGCTTCAATCATTATCTGCCCCTTTTGTGCATATTCTGTACATGCATGACATTAACTGTGTGACAGGATGAGAGGGAAGGCTGCAAAAACCCAATGGCCCCTTTACTTTATCTCTTTTACATGTGAGCATATCATATACATTTTTGTCTAATTCCGTTGGGATTTTATGCAGCAAATAAATCAACCCATTAAATGAATTTTAGGAGGGCTCAGACCCTATTCTACAAACTAAATTACCGGACTGTTTTTGATAAATACATTAATGCTAGTTTTCATATCACATGCATTATTTAATGTAGATTTTAAAAAAATCTTCATTTATGGGTTGAATATGGCTCCTAACCTCTGGTGCTTCAATGGTGGATGGCCAAACCACCACCAGTGACCATTCATGATTGGGCTTTGAGGAAGCAGCGCAAATTTTTAAATCGATGCTGAAACTGACCCCAAAGGTACCACATCAACATTTAAGTAAATAATTAGGTATTGCAGAGTAATACTGGATGCTGGGGTTAGTCAATATATTATCTTGATCATACTATATAAACTACATTCTTTTTTAATTCTGCATCAAAATTGTATGAATAATCTCATATAATATAATTGTGTCAGTCGGTGGAAATAATGTGCACATACTATATTTATTAACAGGTTGTACTGTAGTCTGCACCTTGGTTTCTTGAACTAGGGTCAGAGTAACCCTACTACTGATGTTTAAACCACTGAGCTGAGCCAATGTATGCACACACACACACACACACACACACATTTACAACGTTAACTAGATATACAAGACAGACATCCATCATTTCTACAATCCACTCTCACTAACTTCTTTCTGTTACAAGTCAATATATTTCACTTTTCCAATTTCAGCCAGCGCTCCACCCATCTGGTCTCAGACTTGTGGCTGATGATAGGAAAAACACATTTAAGGAAATAAATAGACCCCTCTGTCTCCCTCCATTTCACCATCACCTCAGGAGATAAGACGACAGGTGCAGTTTTCTCATCTTTCAAGGTATGGAAATGAATGATGCTTGAGAATATGGAAGATTTGCAAGCAAGGGGCTGGCTCAGTAAATTATATTCAGCTCTTTACCTCAGAAAACTGCTTGGAAAGTTATATCTTGATAGCACTTCAGAAAACATGCCACACTCTTTGATTATGCTGTTGCCTGTATGCCAGTAGGTTCCTGCTTGCACATAATTAATAAGAGGCTAAAAGCAAATAGCAGCCAAATAGCCCATAATAAACCAAACACTATAAACCACTACAAAAATATCAATGACTCAAACATTATGGATGATGCATCAGCTCAACATGAGCACAGAATGAAAAGCAGTAGATTGAGAAGGTTTGTTGAAAAATGAGAAGTCCCCTGCGATGGGGGAAAGTGATACCTTCGTTCTTACCTTCCTCCCAACCCTGGGGACTTCCTGTCTTCTTTTCTGCTTTCTCATTCCTTTCCTCCCGCAGGTCCCCGGCAGCCACTATGCTCCATGTGAACTCTGGGTTGCCGTCCAGCTGCTGGCCACATGTTCTACTATTGCCAGGGCATCTGGGACCTGTCGAAAGAGGAGCCACTTGAATTTACATGGATTTCTGACTATTTTGCCTTAAAAATTCAGTGTGTAGAATTAAGTGACATCTAGAGGTGAAGCTGCATGTTGCAGCTGAATACTCCTCATCTCACCCTCCCCAACATGAAATAGACCCTGCGGTAAACTTCATAAAAACACAAAAAGTTTGAGTTTGTCCAGTTTGGACGACAGTAAAAAAGAGAGGACC